GCAGGGAGAGTGGTAGCATTGAGGGAGGCAGGGAGAGTGGTGGTGGTAAGGGAGGCAGAGGGCAGAATTGCTGTCCTGGTGATGGTTGCCAAACCTCTCACCCATACTGTATTAAAAATTTTAATCATAGTTGTAAAATATTTGTGCCAAAATATGTTAATTTTCGTAGATTACTATACATTATTAATCATTAACATGTCTTATAGTTTCCTATTTATTAATTAAACAAATATAGTTTTATTAATGAATTATGCACAGTTGGCATCTGCAAGCAGGCGCTGACAGATGTCCGCCTCTATGCCTAGCCTCGACCCCTTAAGTAGCTCTCTCGACCCCGTTAGTAGCTCCCTCAACCCCGTTAGTAGCTCCCTCAACCCCGTTAGTAGCTCCCTCAACCCCATTAGTAGCTCCCTCAACCCCATTAGTAGCTCCCTCCTCCATAGCCTGCTGTTATGTTATGAGGAAGGCAGTGAGGAAGGGATGGAAGACATTGAGGGAGGGATGGAAAGCATTGAGGGAGGGATGGGAGGCAGTGATGGAGGGAGGCATTAAGGGGGAGAGGCAGTGATGGAGGGAGGCATTGAGGAAGGGATGGGAGGCAGTGATGGAAGGAGGCATTGAGGGGGAGAGGCAGTGATGGAGGGAGGCATTGAGGAAGGGATGGGAGGCAGTGATGGAAGGAGGCATTGAGGGGGAGAGGCAGTGATGGAGGGAGGCATTGAGGGGGAGAGGCAGTGATGGAGGGAGGCATTGAGGGGGAGACGCAGTGATGGAGGGAGGCATTGAGGGGGAAAGGCAGTGATGGAGGGAGGCATTGTGGGGGAGAGGCAGTGATGGAAGGAGGCATTGAGGGGGAGAGGCAGTGATGGAGGGAGGCATTGAGGGGGAGAGGCAGTGATGGAGGGAGGCATTGAGGGGGAGACGCAGTGATGGAGGGAGGCATTGAGGGGGAAAGGCAGTGATGGAGGGAGGCATTGAGGGGGAGAGGCAGTGATGGAGGGAGGCATTGAGGAAGGGATGGGAGGCAGTGATGGAAGGAGGCATTGAGGGGGGAGAGGCAGTGATGGAGGGAGGCATTGAGGGAGGGATGGGAGGCAGTGATGGAGGGAGGCATTGAGGGGGAGAGGCAGTGATGGAGGGAGGCATTGAGGAAGGGATGGAAGGCAGTGATGGAAGGAGGCATTGAGGGGGGAGAGGCAGTGATGGAGGGAGGCATTGAGGGAGGGATGGGAGGCAGTGATGGAAGGAGGCATTGAGGGGGAGAGGTAGTGATGGAGGGAGGCATTGAGGGAGAGATGGGAGGCAGTGATGGAAGGAGGCATTGATGGAGGGATGGGAGGCATTGATGGAGGGAGGCATTTTTTTTTTTAGAGGCATTGAGAGTGGGATGGGAGGCAGTAATCGGAGGCATTGAGAGTGGGATGGGAGGAAGTGATGGAGGGAGGCACTGAGGGGGAAAGGCAGGGAGGGATAGAAGCAGTGAGGGAGGAAGGGTGGTGGTGGGGGTGAGGGAGGGAGGGAGGGAGGTGTTTGGTTAATATGGTTCACGTGTTGTGTGGTCCACTTGTATGATCCAACTTGTCATTTGAAGGAATTATTAATTGTAACCTGTGATAGAATGGGCACTAACACAGGAACTAACTTGGAACGCAATTACACAATGAACTTATTTAATTTTAGTTATACAGTATAAAATATATCCTACCTTAATGTTACTTGAAAAATTACCGACAACTTAACTTCGGAAATACCGACCAGGGTACAGCCCCATATAGGCCGTTAAATCGAGTGGGTACTGTATTTAATTTAACTAAATAATAAAGTAAATTTTTAAAGTAAAAATATACAGTATTTTAACCCTTCAATTGCGCATCGCATCATATGAAGCTTTGACCGACTTGCAGTAAATTGCGCATCGCATCATGTGATGCTTTGGAGTACTACGCAAGATTTAAACGGCCCGCGGATACACGGGGTTAACCACACCTTCATCAGGGCTCTTGTAAACAGACTCCATTTTAAAAAAAAATCGTGGGCCAAACTCCCGGGTGTTAGGGGCCTCAGTATTGAGTGAGCAACCAAGCCTGACGCACGCTGCATGAGCAAACAGCACTGCTGTTCAGCTTGTGACCACAGCATCGCCTAAAAATGCCAGAATATACTTGTTCATGCTATTATGTAGCGATGATATTATTACAGAAGACCCATGACTGTGATAAAACTGACCAGGGTTCTGATAATAGCAAGATTGTGGTGATATTTAGCGCTGTGCGCCATGGAGGGAGGAGTAATGCTGTGGGAGGGAGGGTAGTGGCATTATCTTCTGACTGTGTGTGGCCACCATTTATTGACTGCACTCACCATAACAGCTTAGTGGTTCGCTATGGTGAACATAAATGTAGATACTTATATATAACGTGTGTATAGAGCGTATAAACAGCAAGAGGAGTAGGTTGGCAGCCGCCATTTTGGTGAGGGAGGAGCGTCGTCTGCAGGACTTACCATGTTGTTTACTGATGACCACGATGGTCTCTGGGCACCATACCAGTTTACTTGTACAAGTATGGTGAATAAAACAGGTAGATATTTATATATAATGTGTGTATATAGCATAATAACACCACAACAGTATTGTTGGAGGAGAAATATTAGTGCGTCTGGCCTTTAGGGCGGCCGCCGATCAGCTAACTGTGTGAGGTCCTATGTCTTTGTGCCTTTACTCACCATACAAGCTTAGATGTACAGTTATGGTGAATAAAACATGTAAATACAGGCATACCTCAGAATAAGAGTTTAATCCGTTCCTGGAGACGCCTCGCCTTCCGAAAACTCGCATTCCGAAGTTAATTTCCCCATAAGAAATAAAGGGAAATGAATTAATCCGTTCCTGACTACCCCAAAAACCCCACATCAAACTAAATTTTTATACCTAATTTACCTAATTCATCTAAATAAACCTACAAAACTGTGTTCCAGTTATTACTTACCTTGCTGTCGAGTGCTGTAGGCGTATGGAAGATGGTGAGGAGGGGGGAGGAGGAGAGGAGTTACTGTTTGGAAGGGGAGTCCCCTTCCATAATCACATCACATAACCCCATGCCTTGTAACACTATGGATACCACTTCTCTTTCTAAATTTTTCAAACCAGCCCCTGCTTGCCTTAAACTCTTTCTTATCTGCATCACTCGTTGCAGGGGTATTCTTTAGAAGGTCTTCGTGCAACACCCTGGCTTTCTCACAAATAATGGCCTCCGAAACACTATCACCCCTCAACTCCTTGTCGTGTATCCAAATTAATAACAACTTTTCCACTTCTTCAAGTATTTGTGGTCTTTGTGCCGTTAATGTTCTTACTCCTTTTGCCACTTTAGCACCCATAATCTTATTTTTCTTCTTAAGTATAGTGCATATTGTTGATGTGGCTTTGTTGTACTGCCTACAAAGTTCAACAACACGTGTACCGTTCTCATGCTTCCGAATGATCTCTTGTTTCTCCTCTATTGTCATCCTCACATGAGCTTTCTGGCCTTTATCCTTACCACTGGCTTTCTTGGGACCCATGGTGAGATATATAATAACAAATTGTATAGACAAATCACCAAAAATCCAACAAAACACTGAAAATCCGCGAGAAGAATTGATGTGGGGGTAGTCACTGAGCGCGAGACAATGGTAAACTGAGGGGCGGCGGGCGGAGGGGCGACGATCGCCGAACCACCACGCGCTAGGTCGGCCTGTACGCGTATCAACAAACTCGCGTCCCGAAGTAACCCTCGCCTTCTGAGACAAATTTTTGGAGTAAATACTCCTCGCCTTCCGAAAATCTCGCATACAGGGACAATCGCATTCCGAGGTACCACTGTACTTATATATAACGTCTGTATATAAAAGCAAAAACAGTATGGTGGGTGGAGAATGGTGGTAAGTCTGGTGAGGTAAGGGAGGGAGTGGCAACCAGTGGCGGGCTGCCACTGCCACTCAGCATACCAACTTAGTGGTTCGATATGGTGAACACGAATGTAGATACTTATATATAGCGTCTGTATATAGTGAATAAAAGCAAAAACAGTATTGTGGGAGGAGAATGTGGGTGAGTCAGGTGATTTGAGGGAGGTCGTAAGTGGCTGGCTGGTACACGGCGGTCACTCCTCGTTACTTTTTGACTCATAATAGCAACTTAGTGGTTCGTTGTGGTGAACACGAATGTAGATACTTATATATAACGTCTGTATATAGTGAATAAAAGCAAAAACAGTATTGTGGGAGGAGAATGTGGGTGAGTCAGGTGACTTGAGGGAGGGCGTGAGTAGCTGACTGGTACACGGCGGTCACTCCTCATTACTTTTTGACTCATAATAGCAACTCAGTGGTTCGTTATGGTGAACAAAACATGCAGATACTTATATATAACCTGTGTATATAGTGTAATAACCGACAAAGTATTTGTTCACTGTTTGATGAACATAATTGAATCAACAATATGCACACCATTTTTTTGAGTACAGCATTGATTCATTCATTTTATTATACAAATATATCACACTACACACTATTGAATAATATTACAGCAAAAAAACTACGAAAAATCAATCAGAAACATTGAAATAATTAGGTAATTATCTCTTTGTGGCAACTCCGACCTGACAGCTGACGATCAACAGACCGCCTGGGACGCACGCTGAGTCAGCACCTGTTTTTTTGCCAGAATTCCCCACCCTATAGCGGGCAATATATGCCACTTACGAATTTTTTATTATTTTTCCCGTGATCAGTGAACACAAATTAACAGGTTAGGAAGAAAAAGTAATTTTTTTTTTTTTTGGTATGCGTCTGTGGGTGTCAAATGGTATATAGCTATGCGCCATTTAAGGGTTAAAGTATATTTATATACTTTAGAGTAAATATTTAAAGTAAATATACAGTAAAGAGATAGGTTAACTTGAACTTTGCTCTACTCTCATAACACATATAATAACACGAATGTGATGCTTGCTACGTACCTTCGTGTCCCAGTTGTGGTGGTACCCAAGTGTTACCCAACGAAGTTTCTTCTTTATCCCACTTTCCTTGCCAGCAATTCTGTAAATAATATGATGTGAGCATAGAATACTTTTCCTGAGTCAGTACCTCAGATGTCCCAGTAGCCATAACCAAAATGGTCCATCTGTAATAGACCTGTAATAATTACAAGTTGTAATGACTGGTATATAAAGTCTAGCTTTTGTTGTTATTATTGTAAATGTTTCTCTTGTAAATGTGTATGCTGCAGTGTGTGTAAAGTTTTCCTGTGTATTTTCATGAGAGTAGTGTCCCTGCACCCTGTGATGACAGAAAGGAACGAGACCTCACACTGTAAGGGTGTGTGGTGTGCTCGTGAGGTACCCACCTTACTATGTGAGGTTATTGACCTCCATTATATCTGTGTGACTGGAAAACTATCGTTAATCTGGTCAGTGAGAAATTTTTCCTTGGTAGTATTTTCATATTTCCTGTGTCTTAACTCTTAAACCGCACAATACATATATATACAATACATATATATACAATGGAGGGTCTAGTGCACAATTTTAAATGCCCCGTGAGGTATAGGGGGCAGCTATTGTCCAACCACAGCCAATAGTAAGCAGATGCTACCTAGAAAAAAAATTGTGGGTAACATATCCAGGAGCGAGAGCCTCAGTTCTGAGTAAGCCACCAAGGTTGGCGCATGCAGCATGAGCACACAGCACTGCTGTTCAGCTTGTGACCACAGCATCGCCTAAAAATGTCACATTATTATTTAGCGATGATAGCATTACAGAAGACCCCTGACTGTGATAAAAATTACCAGGATTCTGAGAATAGCAGGATTGCAGTGATAATTAGCGCTGTAGTGGGAGGAGTAATCTTGGTGGGGGAGGTAGCGTTGTCTGCTGACTGCGTGGCCCACCTTTTACTGTCTGGACTCACTATACCAGCTTAGTGGTTCGCTATGGTGAACACAAATGTAGATAGAGTACAACCTCGATTCAACGTACTATATGGGACCAACCCCAGTTCATTGGATTCGTTGCAAGAGGTGACCTTCAGGAGGCGTTTCTGTCAGTGTCTTTTTTTTTCTTGTACACTTATGTACAAGTGCACACCTTATGAAAAAAGGTGACACCCCTAGGGTCAACACTTGCATCAGAGGAGCTCCAGCATATTTCAACAATCCTAAGTACTGTAGTACAGGTTGATGATAGTGAGTGGTGTCCCAGAGAACATAAAGGTATAGTGCTTTTCAAAAATAGGTGAGATAACAGGAATGTGCTAAGGGAAGTGAAAAATCAAATGAGAAAAAGTTACCCTAGTGTTTCCAGTGCAGAGAAGAACATTCAAGATGGCTGCCGGCAAGAGGAAAATCAAAACAGAGCTTGATTTTGCAGGACTCAATGAAGAAAGCATTGATATTAGCAGTCTACACAACAAGTTGGTAAAATTAGATACTATAGTGAACTCTCATGTAGAAAGAATTAGTAAATTGAAAGAAAGTAATGACCATTTGAATAGCAAAGTTTTAGGTCTTGAGAGTTTAGTGAAAGACTTGTCCTTGTGCAAGGACAAGAATCAATTGGAAACAAATTGCAAAGCCATGGAAGAGGAAAATAAACACTTAAAAATAGCTTTGGAAGAAGTTAAAGCAAACTTAAACATAAATGACTACAATAGGTTAGGTAAGGAAATTCAACAGGAGAAACAGCTTTTGTCAGCACAGATGGAGGAAGTTACACACGGAATAGAACAGAGCAAGAAAGATATGCAACTCACCTATGCACAAGTGGCCAAGGAGAAGGAAAAAATTGAAGAAGCAGTAAAGGGAGCCAAACACTGCAGCAACCAAGATAAAACAAACATTAGGCTGGAAGTGAGAAAGGAATTGGCATCTAACCCGAAGTTGGTGCAAAACACAGTTGATCGGAGTAAGTCCCTGATAATCTTTGGTTGCAAAGAGAAGGAGATAACATTTAGGTCAGAAAGAGTTGTAGAAGAAGCGAAAGTAGTAGATAAAATTGTTGGCCTCGTAGAAGGTCTTACTACCATAGAGAATGTGTGCGACTACAGGAGAATAGGCAGATACGTAAAAGGGAAAGATCGACCTTTGAGGATCACTCTAAACGGTGCCAAACAGATGAAAGAAGTACTAAGGAATGCTAGAAAATTACAAAGTGATGAGGATGGGAAAGTGTGGTCATTAAGACGAGATCTTTCAAAAGAAGACAGAGAGAAGCTGAAACTGAACCTCGCAGAGGAAAAAACGTTTAAATGAGAGCAGGAATGAAGAAGAAATCAATTCTTTTTTCTACAAAGTGATAGGGGTAGGCAGACCAGTAAAGTGGTACATAAAGGCAAACCAACAAAATCAAAAGAGAGAGGGGGAGTGAAGAATAAGGAGAGGGGGAACAAGTTCCTGAAGAATGCATACACCAACATAGATGGAGTGAGATCGAAGATACTGGAGTTAAGTGATGTAATACAGCTGTACATACCAGACATTGTTGCACTCACGGAGACAAAACTTGAAGATGTTATTTTAAATGAGGTCATATTCCCAAGGGGCTACTCAATTTGGAGACGAGACAGAAAAATTAGGAAAGGAGGTGGCGTTGCTGTGCTGGTAAAGGAACACCTAAAGGTTAAGGAAATAATGACTGCCAATCCACAAGAAGTTGATATAATAGCACTTGAGATCTACCATGAGGATGATAAACTAATGATCATAAATGCATATAGTCCACCGCCAAGCAGCACATGGTCAAAGGAGGAGCTAGATAGTAAACGAGAAGGTCTTATAATAATAATGAGAGAGATTATAGCGAGAGCGGATAACGATAGATCACGACTGTTGATAGTCGGTGACTTCAACTTGATATCCATAGACTGGGAAGCATATGAAGCTAAAACAGAAGATTTTTGGACCTGTAGATTTGTAGTCCTCATCCTGGAAACATTCTTGTATCAACATGTTAAACAAGCTACGAGGATGAGGGAAGGGGACGTTCCCTCCACGCTAGATTTGATATTTACCAGGAAGGAGGAAGAGATATTTGACATTCAGTACCATCCTCCCTTGGGTAAAAGTGACCATGTCTTTTTGGGAATAAAGTATGCAATGCGTTATAATCTGGAAGAAAATAAGGAGGTTGAAGCAGTTGAAAAACCTGACTTCAGGAGAGGACATTATGGCAACCTTAGAAATTTTTTTAGTGAGTATAATTGGACAGACTTGATGCTAGGCAAGGAAGTGAATGAGATGTATGTCAAGTTTTGTGAAATATATGATAAAGGCACAACAAAATTTATACCAAAACAGAGATGCAGAACTAGGAAACAGGATTGGTTCAATAGAAATTGCGAGAGGGCCAGAGACCAAAAGACACAAAAATGGAATCAATACAGGAAGAGGCCAAACCCCCAAACATACCAGCGATACAAAGATGCAAGAAACAACTACACGACAGTGAGGAGAGAGGCAGAAAGAAATTTTGAAAAAGGGATTGCAGACAAATGTAAAACAGAACCAGGTCTATTCTATAAATTCATAAACAAAAAATTGCGGGTAAAGGATAATATTCAGAGGTTGAAAATGGGAAATAGATTCACGGAAAATGAAAAGGAAATGTGTGAAACACTAAACGAAAAGTTCCAAAGTGTGTTTGTACAAAATTAAATCTTTAGGGAACCAGACACAATAAGAATTCCAGAGAACAACATAGAGCACATAGAGGTGTCTACAGACGAAGTGGAAAAAATGCTCAAGGAGCAAAGTAGGAACAAAGCAGTTGGTCCAGATGGAGTTTCACCATGGGTTCTGAGAGAGTGTGCACCTGAGTTCAGCATTCCACTTCAACTGATTTTTCAGGCATCCCTGTGTACAGGAGTTGTAGCTGATGTGTGGAAAAAGGCTAACGTAGTTCCAATCTACAAAAGTGGAAGCAGGGAAGACCCCCTTAATTATAGACCTGTATCATTGACAAGTGTAATAGTCAAAATATTGGAAAAAATAATTAAAACTAAATGGGTAGAACACCTGGAGGAAAACGATATAATATCAGACAGACAGTATGGTTTTCGGTCTGGAGGATCCTGTGTAACGAACTTAATCAGTTTTTATGATCGAGCCACAGAGATTTTACAGGAAAGAGACGGTTGGGTTGACTGCATCTATCTGGACCTAAAAAAGGCTTTTGACAGAGTTCCCCATAAGAGGTCGTTCTGGAAACTGGAACATATTGGAGGAGTGACAGGTAAGCTACTAACATGGATGAAAAATTTCCTGACAGAAAAATGAGGGCCGTAATCAGAGGCAAGGTATCGGATTGGAGGAATGTCACGAGTGGAGTACCACAGGGTTCAGTTCTTGCACTGGTAATGTCCATTGTCTAAATAAACGATCTACCAGTGGGAATACAGAATTACATGAACATGTTTGCTGATGATACTAAGATAATAGGGAAGATAAGAAACCTAGATGATTGTCATGCCCTTCAAGAAGACCTGGACAAAAAAAGTATATGGAGCACCACTTGGCAAATGGAATTTAATGTGAATAAATGCCATGTTATGGAATGTGGAATTGGAGAACATAGACCCCACACAACCTATAAATTATGTGAAAAATCTTTAAAGAATTCTAACAAAGAAAGGGATCTAGGGGTGGTTCTAGATAGAAAACTGTCACCTGAGGACCACATTAAGAACATTGTGCGAGGAGCCTATGCTACACTTTCTAACCTCAGAATTGCTTTTAAATACATGGATGGAGAAATACTAAAGAAATTGTTCACGACTGTTATTAGCCTAAAGCTGGAATATGCAGCGGTTGTATGGTGCCCATATCTTAAGAAGCACATCAACAAACTGGAAAAGGTGAAATGACATGCCACTAAGTGGCCCCCAGAACTGAAGGACAAGAGCTACGAGGAGAGGTTAGAGGCATTAAATATGCAAAAACTAGAAGACAGAAGAAAAAGAGGCGATATGATCACTACGTTCAAAATAGTAACAGGAATCGATAAAATTGATAGGGAAGAATTCCTGAGACCGGGAACTTCAAGAAA